ACCTTCGGTTTCTACTACAAATTTTTGATGAATTTATGGTAAACAAAAATATTATGGAGATGTAATTATTTTGTGTAAACTAAAAGAGGGGGGAAAAAATTCTTTAAGCAAAAACAATGCTTTCAATTCTACACCATATTTAAGAAAAAAAGAAGTTTACTGCTGTTTTCCTCAGTTCCTCTGAAAATTGATTACGTAAAAATCCTTTCCTATGATAATTACTTATCTTTCTCCATTGAAATGTTGTTTATCATCTCCATCGTATTGTTTACCATCTACTTAATTTTGCTAGTTAACTTGGACGGAACAAGATTTTACTTATTTTTCTTCTTTAACACTATTCGACAGAGACTATTCCTTTGCTTGTTGAATAAATTGCTCTCTTCATTTCTATTCTTTGCTTCATTAGCATTACAAATTTCGACCACATTTTGCTGTTTGTAGAATAATTCTTTTTTTCTTTTAAACTTTATCCAGTCTCCAATGGGGCACGGTAACTTAAAGGCAAAGTAACCCGGCTCACACCTGGCATAAATTCAAGCATGATAATGAGAGTTTTTTGACATTTGTTTTAGATTATAAGGAGAGATGATGGGCACTGTGGAGAAGAAGAAGATAGAAGGTCGAGGATTGATAGATGTGGTGTTTTCTTGGTCTATAGATGATGTGATGAACAAGGATCTTTACAAGAATAAGGTTTGTTTCCTGCAATCCTCTCCTTTTTTTTATTTTCTAGATTTTGATTGCCAATACAAAATACATGTTATTTTATTTTGTTTTAAGGGTATGATATACATGTTTTTCGTGTTGTAATTACAATTAATAATCAACAATAGTATATACGATTTATTCAAAGATAATGAAGTAATATATCCTTCAAGATCGTAAATTTGTTTTCTAATTGTAGCATGAGTAGATAGTCGAAATCATACCTCTAATATCCGACTTAACCATTGTCTTCACCTTATATTTATTTGAGAATGATCGCAATTGTACAAAGAATATCAAAAGACAAAGAACGCAGTATGTTAGATGGATGGAAGAGATGAATTCTCCATAGGTATTAGAATTTTCATGTGTGTTAGCTCGCTTAAAATTTATCAAAATTCCTATACAAATGGTTTTCTGGAGGCGGTTTTAGGTGTGGGAGAGGGGTGAGATAACTTACACTCTTTTTCTCATACTACTAAAAATCTACGTATTTGAAAAATTAGGAGCAAACGATCAAAACAATATTTTTTCAAAAAAATGCTACCAAACAGGGACAGAATTTTGTGTGAATGTATGGTTGAAAATGAGTATATAGAACAAAGAATTTTAAAAGAACAGGAGACAAGCAATGCTTAAAGTGGTTAAACGACTTTTCGTCTTCCTATATGGGATACGACTTTTTTCAAATTTTCACCATTTATCCTACTTTAATTTCCAAGTTCGAATGGCTTTCTTTTGACATTCCTTCTTATTTACCCGAAATTGATTTTAAGTAAGTAAATACACTACAACGATCTACTCAAAGAGTAGAACACATTTGGCCAAAGAACTCTGATATTCGATTAACGGGTCCCATTTAAATAATTGATCAAAGTTAGCCAAAACCAACTTATTAAATAACCAATTTCCAACACGACTTTGGTTGGACATAATTTCATTTTATTTTTTATTGCTTAATCTGTAATATGGTTGCCAGTTGCCACTTATCCGACACTTTAAATGGCTTCAAACATTTTATCTTGACAGGTCAAGCCAATTCCGGAGACATTCTATACAGCAGAACACTATCTCCGGTCATTCAACGACCCTCTTCTAGAAGAAACACATGCTAGTCTGCGGTCAAGTTTTACTCCTAAGAATCGTCCACCTGCACGTGAAATATTTGATGTCAACCCTAACAAAGATTTCAAACCTCCCAAAGATTTTTTCTATACCATGACATTGAAAAGATTGAGGAGTGGAAGTGAGGAAGACAAAAGAGTATATGAACCAGAGGTTGGAGATTTAATTGCCTTGATAGATGTAAGACCAGAATATATTGAAGATTTGACCACAAGTAAAAGGCCTTACCGTATAGCTGTACTTTACGGCATCAAGGATGACGACGATTCCAC